TATTGGCGCGTCTACACTGTGGACTCCCGCCAGAAATATTTTTTGGTATTTAATATTTATTTTTTTCAGAAATAATATTCGGACCGAAACCGGTCTGAATATTATTGGCGCGTCTATGCTGTGATGCCGCCAGAAATATACGAACCGATATCGGTCCGAATATGTTTATTGGTATATTCAGACCGATATTGGTTCGAATATTTAGTTTTTCGGACCGACAGTATTTGGTCCGTATATGGTCGGTCTGTATACGTCATTTTTCTAGTAGTGGTAAAGCAATTATAAAAGTACCTGAACCCAAAAGGAAAAAATTAGGTGAAAGAGGAATTGAATGTATATTTTTGGGGTATGCAAAAAATAGTAAGGCATATCGGTTTATGGTCATTAAACCAAATGATTCAATTAATGTCAATATCATAATTGAATCAAGAGATGCTATCTTTGAAGAGAGCAAATTTAATTCAATTCCTAGACCTAAAGAAGCAATTGCTGAAAGTTCAAAACAAAGAATAGAAGACAACTTGGATGAAAACAAGTTGGAAGAAAACATTGAAGTTAGAAGAAGCAAAAGAGCTAGAAAAGCAAGAACATATGGTCCAGAATTTTACATGTTTCTTATTGAAGGAACAAGAGAAAAGACAAGAAAAGCAACTAAATTTTGTTATAATATAGAAGCTGATCCTGTGACACTTGAAGAAGCAATTAAGTCACAAGATTCAACTTTTTGGAAGGAAGCCATAGATGAGGAAATGAGTTCCATAATGGGGAATAACACATGGATTTTAGTGGATCTTCCACCAGGTTGCAAACCTATAGGTTGCAAATGGATTTTCAAAAAGAAACAGAAAGTTGATGGCATAATAGACAAATTCAAGGCAAGATTAGTGGCAAAAGGCTATTCACAAGAGCATGATATAGATTATTTTGATACCTATGCTCCGGTAGCAAGGATTGCCACTTTAAGAGTATTAATTGCTTTGGCATCGATTTACAAATTGGTAATTCACCAAATGGATGTTAAAACAGCATTTTTAAATGGTGAATTAGATGAAGTAGTATACATGGAGCAACCAGAAGGGTTTGTGATGCCTGGTCAAGAAAAGAAAGTTTGCAAGCTTATAAAATCCTTGTATGGACTTAAGCAAGCTCCTAAACAATGGCATCAAAAATTTGATGGAGTGGTGCTTGCTAATGGCTTCAAATTAAATGAAGCAGATAAATGTGTTTATAGCAAGTTTAAAAATGGACAAGGTGTTCTTATATGCCTATATGTAGATGACATGCTCATCTTTGGTACCAACATAGAACAAGTTGAAGAAACCAAAAGGTTCTTGTCTAGAAACTTTTCCATGAAAGATATGGGTGTTGCTAATGTGATTTTGGGAATAAAAATTCATAGAGATGGTGATAATTTAATCCTTTCTCAGTCCCATTATATAGAAAAAGTCTTGAAGAAATTTAATTTTTATGATTGTGCAATTGTTTCTACACCTTTTGATCCTAATGTAAGGTTAACATCTAATGATGGAAAACCAATTGCACAATTAGAATATTCAAGAGTGATTGGATGCTTGATGTATG